AGTGAGTACAGTAAGATAAATTAGTTAGTGAGTACAGTGAGATAAGCTTCCTGATCACCCAATCTGCAATCACATCTTTTATATCTCAGCAGTGAAAGCCACATGCGCCTGGTCTGGTTCATTTACCATGAGTGTAATGATTGATAATGGAAAAGGGGCGGGCGACAATTTTGCACAAAACTGGGTCACATTGTGACCCTGAAGGTTTTTGATAGTAATTGAAATAGATTCTTGTCAGAAGCTCATACATGTATTTAAAATTTCAGAATATTCTAGATTCATCGCCATCTTAATCTTATATTTTTTGATAGTACATCTTGAAATTTGTATGAAAATTATTTAATTTTTTGTACCATGTATATGACTCTTTATAAATTGTCACATCAATAAAAGTGGGTTAGATCGATTTTTATTTTATGAGCATTGGTTGAATTAATAATATCCATGAATTGTTTTGTGATGCCTATATTCTCTCTTATTTTGTTGCTAATTAGCTAAAAAAAATGTTCAGTCTTATCAAAAGGCCAGATCTAGATGTGTTAATTCTCCAAATATCATTGTAAGGGGTGCGTTACTTTCCTAGTGTTATTGTGTGATGATGTATTCTGTTTTATGTAGATCAGTTCTTAGAATAAAAAAAAAAATTTACACATTATTATATCAAGGGCTCTGTATGTATGTATGTATGTATGTATGTATGTATGTATGTATGTATGTATGTATGTATGATAGATTATATTAAATTTATTTTCATATAGATTGATAACCAATAAATATTCATGATTTAATATTTAACAGCTGTCAATGCTATGATTTTCTCTGTAAATATGCCTTGTACATATGTTTGAGTAGTCTCACACACAGTCACTCTACAGTGATAGGGGGACTGTGTCCTACTCTTAAGTGGATTTACAACAATAAACCATACTGTACAGTTACCGACTTAAACCAGAGAAAATTTCGACTAAACAGCTGATCTAACTATCACGTTACAGGTGCAAGCACATGAATTTAATTTGCAATGATGAACCAACCAAACTCTCACTAGCTCAGACATTACAAGCCCTATCTGCTATCCAGGGTTTGAATCCTCCCCTTTCCAACTTTTGAATCATCCCCTTTCCAACTTTTGAAATCTCCCCTTTCCAACTTTTGAATCCTCCCCTTTCCAACTTTTGAATCCTCCCCTTTCCAACTTTTGAATCCTCCCCTTTCCAACTTTTGAATCCTCCCCTTTCCAACTTTTGAATGGCGAGGAAGAACTGTACCTCGTCGTCAGTGCTAGACTTTACACCTTGACTAAATTGCAAAGTGTGGTCAATTTACAATCTACTTTGTACGTAAAACATTATACAGTTACAGCGGTTTTGCTGGAAGTTATGTGAGATTTACCAGTACAATATGTGAGATTACTGGTATTACAATGATAGTTTACAAGTTATGTGAGATTTACCAGTACAATATGTGAGATTACTGGTATTACAATGACAGTTTACAAGTTATGTGAGCTGTAGAGGTTCACAATCTACTCTAGATAAAGTCAAAGACTTAATATAATTAAATTTCTTCCTGTGTGCATAGTAATGAGCTAATTTACATATGAACTAATATCTAGCGATTCAATCAAGCATTGTATCCACAAACCCCAACTGTTTTATGTGTTTATATCTGAACTCGGAGCCATTTTACTTTTTTTTAAATTTATCACCTGTTATTTTTCTTATTTTATTTCAGGGGTCTGGGTAAACAAGGATATCAATGCCAAGGTAAGTGTTCTGTGACATACATTTATTTGGAAAGTGGTGGTAAAACAGTACTATGTATGTGTCAATGTGATTTAAAAACAACTTGTGTAATGTATAGTATAGTATATAAATGGAACGACTAAAAAAATAACAGTTTTTCATAGCTATTTTTCTTTGGGTATTAAACTTCTGAATGCAGAAATGTTGCAATCTGGAAAACTTATAGTGTTGTCTCAGAACTGTAAATCGCCTTTTCGACCATAGTCCAAAGACGTACAATCTGTTTTGTGGTCTGATCAAATATGGTCAACAACAGTCTTAAAAATTGTTAAACCCTTTTAGCCTATTAGTTGTGTATGTGCTTACTGAAATAACAGGTTGTTTATAGTCGAAATAAGTTGTATTTTAATGATCCATTATCCTTTGGGGCGGACATCTGCAACATATATAAATTTGGTTGCACAGGATTACTTCAAAGTTAAGTTTGTTCCGTTTCCTTGACTTTAGCTGTTTTCACCGGCTCTTCGACTGGTGTTCCACAGCAGCTTGCACAGAGCCCATAGAAATACATGGTAGAGTGGTGCACGTCTTAGCAATGTAGAACATTTTTGGACATAGCCTAGCAACCAATATGGTGAAAACAAAGGCCGATAAATCTGAAAAACTGTACTTTGGGATGGTTGTTGAGACTCTCCTGAGCAGTGTAACAAGATTACCCATACATGTGCTTGGTTGCTCAGGATTACTTCAGAGTTGAGTTTGTGTCGTTTCCTTGACTGTTGCTGTTTTCACCGGCTCTTCGACTGGTGGTCCACAGCAGCTTGCACAGAGCCCATAGAAATACATGGTAGAGTGGTGCACGTCTTAGCAATTTAGAACGTTCTGTGACGTAGCTCCGCCCCCCAGGATACAATAAATGCACTTCTCTTAGGAATGCACCCTTTATATGGAGCTAATACAAGTATTACATATGTATGTTAGTGATATCATTGAAATCCTATATATAGTGCTTTTTTTCTTTGATGAGATCAGTGATGCCTGAAAAAAACACTCAATAAATACTTCTCTTAGGATTGTTTTATTATTGATTAAAGATCCAGTATGGACTTAATAAATGAATGATGAGAAGAATTTCTTAGAAGTTAGTATGTTATTCAGAAGAAGATGAAGAAAAAAACAAACTGTCCATTTTGAAGATTCCTTCTGTTTTTTCATTCTATTTGTTATTGATCATTGTATAAAAAAGAAAAGAAAAGCACTAAATTAAATAGATTCCATTGTGGATGTCTGGTGAACTCAGATTACCTTAGGCTGTACTGATTGTCAAATTAAATCAAAGATTCAATGATTTATCAGCTAAAAAACATGTGTGTTGTGTGAGTTATTAACTGCAAGCCAACACACCCACTCATCTGCCTAGAAATCCTGATAAATGTTGAAATGTGTCCTGTGTTTAGTCGTCTAAAATGCGAGGGTGTTGAAATGGTACTCCCAATAGCATGCTTTCTGTGGCTATAAACACTTGTTGTCTATTTCAGATAAGCGTCAAGACATAGGAAATTAAGCACACTTTCCTTTTTATTCTCATTGACATCCAAAAGTGTGTGTCAAAAGGTCACAGGCTAGCGTGTGTATGTACGAGTCTTTCTTAGTAATGTCATCTGTGTGGGTTGCAGATCGTCCATGGCATTTCTTTAAACTGACTTAGTGATGGCAGTTAAAACATATTGTGTGATATTTTTAAAGCTCGTATAGAAATTTGTATATTTTGAGTTGTAGATATTTTTCCTATAGTCTTATTGGGACTATTATGTGACATGTTTGATCGTGTTAATTTTGCGTGATTTAAAAAATATGTGCGACAATTCCTCTTTATTTGTTTTCGTTACAAATTGCATTATGCAAATTGTTGTGAATCCCTTCATGTTGAAACACTATTCAAAAACGTTAGCTGATGAAATTTAAACATATTGTCAACATTCAGGCACTTTTAGTGTATGTTTCCTTGCAATTTGTGCGTATTCTGATCATCAAATATTTCACATTACAGACCTCAATGTGTAGCTTTAGGAATGCAACATTAAAATTCATCTTGCTAAATTGTGTCATTACTTTATTTGTGTTGTAGTGTGTACGTGTGTGGTTCACAAGCGCTGTCATGAACAGGTAGTGACGAGATGTCCTGGAAGTACCAGGGATACTGCCATAGATGAGGAGGTACGTCATCTTGCATTGCATATGCCACTTTGTCTTGTAGATTCTTGTGATTAGTGCTTCTTATGACTGGCTTCATGGTTGTTAACAAATGTGAGTTGTGAGCAAGTCTTTGTAGAAAAACTACATCATTAAGGTAGAAGCCTACTCAAAATTTTTGAGAAAGTTCATCATGGATCACATGTTCACTGGTTTATTATGTAAAATCATGAAGTTATTGCCTCATGGCACCATGAAATAAATAGCATTCGTTGTGTGTTACAGTTGAGGTATGGCATTATATTTGTGCCATAGGAACCAATGGTAAAAGCATTTTAATACTGCCAGAATGGCCACTAACCACTAACCACTACAACCATTTTTAGCTTCGCTGTCGACTTTGTCGAGCGGAGCTTATCATATGAGTGATTGTCCATCGTCCGTGTCAGTGTTTTACTTTTTCGACTTCTTCTTGAAAACTACAAGCCTGAATGCTTTGATACTTGGTGTGTATGTACCTGGGGTAGACCTCTCTTAGATTTGTTCATTTCATGATGATATCTTCAATTCTCTAATTTTGGTGAATATTTTTGTCATTTTTGGTAAAAAGTGATATTTTCGACTTCTTGTTAAAAACCGCAAGTCCAATTACTTTGATATTACATATATAGGTACTACATGTGGATCTCTCTCAGATTTGTTCATTTTGTGATGATATCCTCAATTCTCTAATTTTGGTGAATATTTTTGTCATTTTTGGTAAATAGTGATATTTTCGACTTTTTGTTAAAAGCCGCAAGTCCAATTGCTTTGATATTACACATATAGGTACTACATGTGGACCTTTCTCAGATTTGTTCATTTTGTGATGAAATCCTCAATTCTCTAATTTTGGTGAATATTTTTGTCATTTGGGGTAAATAGTGATATTTGTTACTTCTTTTTAAAAACCACAAGTCCAATTGCTTTGATATTACATATATAGATGCTACATGTGGACTTTTCTGAGATTTGTTCATTTCGTGATGATATCTTAAATTCCCTAATTTTGGTGAATAAGATTGTAATTTTTGGTAAAAAGTGATATTTTCGACTTCTTGTTAAAAACATCAAGTCCGATTGCTATACATATTGTTCATTTTCTAATGATATCTTCAGTTCTTTAATTTAAATGTGCCTTGCTAACAGCCGAGCTATCTCAGCCGAGAGGCTGCATGTCTTGAAAATTAAGCTGGTGTACCCCCAATTTTCTATATTCTATATTTCCACAATTTATTGGGAAATTAATAAATTCTGGGTTTTACCTTAAAGTGAACATGCCGTTACATTTACAGTGTTCATGACATATAAATTATTCACACATCATACCGGTAATCTTTGTTCTTGCTTATGTCACAACTTATTCCTCTCATCATCTTCAACTAGAAACTTGGACCTCAGCGATTTAACATTAACATGCCACATAGATTTGATGTTCACAATTACATGCGACCAACTTTCTGTGATCACTGCGGCTCTCTGCTTTACGGTCTTCTTAGACAAGGTCTTCAATGTTCAGGTGAGTTTTAATGCCCACAATGCAATTTTTCAAATATGGCAGGAAATCTACATATTCACAAGACCATAATTGTGATGCAAATTATAAATTTTAATTTGTAAACAAACCATTTTGGTGAATGACGTATAGGACATGAATGTTGTGTTTATATTTAGACCAGTCTGTTAGAAATCTGCTGGTCGGTCCGCTTGACTCAACTTCCGATCTGTTTCAGCTTGTAAGATGAATGTTCACAAGCGGTGTCAGAAAAACGTTGCAAATAATTGCGGTATCAACCCAAAGGAAATGGCTACCATACTCGCTGAAATGGGCGTGACAGGAGACAAACTATCTGTGCGAAAGAAGAAGGTAGGTTTCCAAATATTAAGTTGATTTCTTTTGATACCATTACAAAGTTCCGGGCTGAAAGATATATTCTATTGGACGTAATTTTGTCAAGTGGTGTTGCCAAGCTCTTGCCATTTTTCAGTGATAATACATCAGTATTGTTTTAATAACATAGTTGTCGTGCCTTTGTTGTACTGTTCTATTATAATAACTGATCAGTACATTGTAGAACTGGTGTAATACTAACAGATGGGATAAAAGAATGACATTTTTCAAAGTAAAAACTAACAATACTACAAGCTGTTACATCATGCCACTAAACAATGGACATTGATCAGGCTAGCCAGTTGTGCAACCTGTTTAGTTTATTATTCCTATTGACGGTCAAGATAAATGATGGCTTGATGTTTCAGATTATGCAATACCAGTTTTTACTGTATTCTATAGACACATCTGTGGTGGTGGTGGTGGTTATTTTGTGAATTTGTTTGGAGATGGAATTTTCACTTTAAATTTTTGATTGTGGGTGGTCACGGACAGAACAAATAAAATTCTAAATTTATAGGACACAGTGTTGTCGGTTTTGCTGTGAGAAGAACATTTAGTCTGGAATGTTTGTTGGTGATTTCTTTACTCAGCATAACTTTTGGCTTTTTGGAACCACCATGTTGTGGAGAAAACAGCCGCAGACTGGCTGGCTACCTGTCATGTCAACAAAACTAGTATTGGTCCTTGGCATTTCTCACTTGTTCATAGCTCATTTGGGACTGTTTTCGAATCTTTTTGACTCAGAAAATTGAGGCAAGCTCCTCACCAAAGGGGTGAAGAGTTTGTCTGGTGTTCGGAGGATTGATTTGAAGATAGTATAATAAGGTAGCTTTAAAGTCACTGAAGTTTTTTCATTTTTGATATGAGCAAGAATTTTGATATGTAAACGATGCCTAAATTTATTGAATATCTATTGCACAATATTTCTTCATTATTGTAAACTTTCTATATCATCAGCTAACTTTATACTTTCTATTAGATGAAACTAATATAATCATTATTTCAAAACTTGGTGACATTTCAAATATTTTGTACCCCTTAAATCTTTATACGCATTATTTTTTGCCATCCTGTCCCGCTTTCTTCATTCCCTGTTTATTAAATAACTTCTCTTTCAGCTCATGTCAACACTGACTCAAAGTCAGCCTATTTTTTGTTTTTGTTTTTGTTTTTGTTTTGTTGTACTTGCAATGTAATATTAACCGGCCTTTGTTCCAGGCCCTTATCAGTGAGACTCCAAAATCTCCTTTATCCGAGTCGCAAACAGCTCCATCGGCTGCAGGTAGGCACATCCGGGCTTGCCATCTGCATGCCAGCAACTCTAATATCATCTCATCATCATCATCATCATTGTATATTCTCTTAACTCTCCCCCTTACTCCCGTCTAATCCACTGCTATGACTTATTAGACCCACTTCAGTGCTCGTATTGGTGGTGATTGCATGCCATCATGGATTGTTTATCTCCTGGTTTGTTTTTGTTTTCTCCCCTTTTGTCATGTTTCCGTTTCTCCTTTTCTTTTCATTACGATTATTATTTTACTTGTCATGCAGCTTCCATCAGCCACAGTGAATCCCCCTTCAAAGCCCCCAACAGTACCACTTCCCCATCTGAAAAGTCAGAAACGTCTTCAAATTCTAACTCCATTAGAACAACAGGTATGGGCACTATTCTATCACGTTTGATACTTCTACACTTTATAACGGTTTGACTCTTTACTCCCTCATTCCGTCCCTATAAACCCTGTTAAAAATACTTCTCACTCTCTCTCTATCTCTCTATCTCTCGCTCGGTAAACTGACTTTTCTTCTTTGGCCTATGCACGTTGACCTGTGCATGGTGAATGGTGTTAAAGAAACCTAGACTGCTCGTTTCAGTTCAATATAAAAATGCACTTCGTTTTTAAAAATAACGCATGGTGAACCACTTGCACTTCCTAAATGTTCTCCCTTACGTTGTTTTCATCTTGTGTTTTCAAATACTTCATTGTCTTTTACATAAGTAAGTTGTTGTAGACAGTATTTGGTCATTAGGTACGTCGTGCTAGTTCAGTATTGTGTTTGCGATCGAGGATGTTATGATACAGAAAATGTGTAAACTGTTCCCAGTTGTGATGTCATTGTAGAAATAGTCGCCAAGAATATTAACATATAATGCACAACTAAGTAGGAATTGCAATGATGTGGTTAAAGTATCATGAAATAGTAATATAGTGAAGCAGAATTGTAAAGGACAATTGAAAAATTGAAAAGAAATTTGTTTCCCCTTTGAATCAGTGTAAATTCTGTCACAGTGTTGAATTTGCATTCTGGAGTTATCATTTATGGCATATTTGGTTATTTTGATTTGGTACATGTCATTTTTCATTTATTTCATGCCAACCATTACAGTCGCATCATTGGATCAACATTTGGACTTATTTTAAAAAGTGTAACCTTAAACTTTCTGTTTTGAAAGTTAGAATTTAAGTGGCCACTTCTTTAATAAAGTACTTAAACCTTGCACAGTCAGGCCAGAATTAAAGATTTTTGTCAATGTTTTCGCAATAGATTGTTAGTTATACGATAGAATATGATATTGCTTATAGAGTTTGGTCAAAGAAAGCAGACAGAGACCAAAGTGACATCTTCTGAAACATAATACAAGTTGACAATTGCAGTGAAAGGGTTAGTGATATGCAAATCACCTCATTAATATGCACATAAATAAAGCAGCCAAAACATGCAACTACATTGTGGAAGATGGTGATGAAAGGGTTGATATGCAAATTACCTAATTAATATGCACAGAAAGAACATAGAACTATTTTGCGAATGGTGACAAAAGCGGACAATGTCAGTGATTAATAATAAACAATACATCTTAGTAACAGCTAAAAATCCTTGACTCGATCAGTCTTTCATTTTACTTGTTTTCCTTTTCAAAACATTATTTTTAGTGACATTTGTGGAATACAGATTGGTGTTGGTAAAAAAACAACGAATCTCTTCGTCAACTGTGAATATTTGAGACGCACTTCTGTATCATAACTCCCCTTTCTTATCGTGGTGTATATTTAGTTACTAGAATATGTAACGAAATAAAGAGAATATAAGTACAGTGTAAATGATTATACATTTAAGAAAACAAATTAAGAATGAAATATTTCATCCAGATAATACTAATAATTGGTGTCAGTTCAGCTTTCCCAATTCTGCAAAGAAAAATGAAACTGGCAAAGATTTTAATAGAAATATCAGTTTTCAGTAAATAGTCATTCACAGTTAAATGTTCCATCTACTTAGGCAAAGACGACCGATCAAGCGATAAGGAAGATGACATGTGTAAAGATCTTGCCAGGTCGTTTATTTCTAGTCCGGGAGACATAGGCACGAGGCCCAAGTCTGATGGCTCAGCCTTGAACAGGGCCGAGAGACCTGTCTGCCTTAATGATTTTAATTTTATCAAAGTACTAGGAAAAGGCAGCTTTGGAAAGGTAAGGGAATGAGGCAAGTTGTTGAAATATGGTGTTTATTCTTAAACTATGTTATATGTGTAAAACTACACTTATCTTCAACAAATTGTTTGATTTCTGAATCAGTTGAAGGTACACACACCATACTTTAGTGACCAGTGTCCTCAACTCAGAAAAACGTGCGAGTGGACATTTTAAAATAGTTGATTAAACATTACATAATTATTGATTCAGACACAAGTCAGCAGATTTGAAAACTTTTCACTCAGTTCAAACTATTTTTTCAAGAGTAACACTACATGTTAATTCCATCTATGTCAAAGTGTTATTTGATAAAATAATAATATTAATAATCATTCATGACAACCATATATAGCCATCTTATACATGATTTTTTCTTTTTACTGTAAACGCATTGATCATTCACTGGGTTTTAATTTCACTATTTTGCAATACTGTTAAGTACAATCCACTAAATTAAATCCTCATGAATGCATAAAAACAATAGTCTCATTGTTTTCCTGACAAATTTGTGAACTTCAAACCAAGTGATTATGCCTATAACAACACAAAGTCGTGAAAATAATGTAAGTAAATAAATGGTTTTACTGTATGTTACAGAACAAAATTTTAAATAATTTTTACCATTGAGAAATGACTCAAAAGTTGTCATTTTTGTAGTTGTTTTGTATGAAAAGTAGTTCGAATTCACGTAAAATTCAGTTACATCTGATGAGCTATTTTAACAGTAGCCAAATATTGTGATTTATTTATGGATGAGAGGCATATTACAGAATGTAAACTCTATAAAGAGCCGAGACAGAAACTGTACCATGTATTCTCTAGTGTCACATTTAACATTAAAAAGAGACGAATTAATAAATGTCAAATTGTCCTTTCGTCAATAAAGCAATATTCTATTTTATAAAACTATGATGTAATCACAAGACGGCACTTGTCCATAGTTGATATGTAACGTCTCTATTATAATCACAAGACGGCACTTGTCCATAGTTGATATGTAACGTCTCTATTATAATCACAAGACGGCACTTGTCCATAGTTGATATGTAACGTCTCTATTATAATCACAAGACGGCACTTGTCCATAGTTGATATGTAACGTCTCTATTATAATCAGACACATGGCACCATAATCAGCAACCAGCTCTGCAAACAAATGATATCATGTGATATTCGGTGATATCAGGTGATATTCAAGTGATATCAGGTGATATTCAAGTGATATCAGGTGATATTCAAGTGATATCAGGTGATATTCAAGTGATATCAGGTGATATTCAAGTGATATCAGGTGATATTCAAGTGATATCAGGTGATATTCAAGTGATATCAGGTGATATTCAAGTGATATTCAGGTGATATTCAAGTGATATCAGGTGATATTCAAGTGATATCAGGTGATATTCAAGTGATATCAGGTGATATTCAAGTGATATCAGGTGATATTCAAGTGATATCAGGTGATATTCAAGTGATATCAGGTGATATTCAAGTGATATCAGGTGATATTCAAGTGATATCAGGTGATATTCAAGTGATATCAGGTGATATTCAAGTGATATCAGGTGATATTCAAGTGATATCAGGTGATATTCAAGTGATATCAGGTGATATTCAAGTGATATCAGGTGATATTCAAGTGATATCAGGTGATATTCAAGTGATATCAGGTGATATTCAAGTGATATCAGGTGATATTCGGTGATATCAGGTGATATCAGGTGATATTCGGTGATATCAGGTGATATTCAAGTGATATCAGGTGATATTCAAGTGATATCAGGTGATATTCAAGTGATATCAGGTGATATTCAAGTGATATTCAAGTGATATCAGGTGATATTCAAGTGATATCAGGTGATATTCAAGTGATATCAGGTGATATTCAAGTGATATCAGGTGATATTCAAGTGATATCAGGTGATATTCAAGTGATATCAGGTGATATTCGGTGATATCAGGTGATATTCGGTGATATCAGGTGATATTCGGTGATATCAGGTGATATTCAAGTGATATCAGGTGATATTCAAGTGATATCAGGTGATATTCAAGTGATATCAGGTGATATTCAAGTGATATCAGGTGATATTCGGTGATATCAGGTGATATTCAAGTGATATCAGGTGATATTCAAGTGATATCAGGTGATATTCAAGTGATATCAGGTGATATTCAAGTGATATCAGGTGATATTCGCACAGGGCATGATTGGTTGTAGAATTGTTCACTTCAGTATAGTTAACAGACTGGCGATAAGTAAAGAGTCGTTCAGGAATGAAATCTCAGTATGTAGTAAACTTGAATGATTTAGCAAAAGAATAGCTGGGTTTCAATGCTTTAGATCCCTTGAACGGCTGCCCTGCTTTTTCTTCAAACTTTGACATTATATTTAGTACACATTTTTTAATGTGTTATTTTTTTTATTTTTTTTGTGTGCTTTGCTACCACTCTCTCTCTCTTTCTTTCTAAGGTTATGTTAGCTGAGTTCAAGGGTTCAGACGAAGTGTATGCGGTGAAGGTACTGAAAAAAGACGTGATTATACAAGACGATGATGTGGAATGTACCATGACTGAAAAGAGAGTGCTTGTACTTGCCAGTAAACATCCTTTTCTCACTGCTCTACATTCCTGTTTTCAGACGAAGGTGAGAACCACACATTTTCACTCTTTGTTTTGTTATATCCAATTGATGGATGAAGTTCTGTTCTGTGTCTGTTAATGTCTGCGTTCACAGCACTGTTTTGTACTCGTCTGTGTTCACAGCACTGTTTTGTACTCGTCTGTGTTCACAGCACTGTTTTGTACTCGTCTGTGTTCACAGCACTGTTTTGTACTCGTCTGTGTTCACAGCACTGTTTTGTACGCGCATGTGTTCACAGCACTGTTTTGTACACGCCTGTGTTCACAGCACTGTTTTGTACACGCCTGTGTTCACAGCACTGTTTTATACGCACCTGTGTTCACAGCACTGTTTTATACGCGCCTGTGTTCACAGCACTGTTTTGTACACGCCTGTGTTCACAGCACTGTTTCGTACGGGCCTGTGTTCACAGCACTGTTTTATACGCACCTGTGTTCACAGCACTGTTTTATACGCGCCTGTGTTCACAGCACTGTTTTGTACACGC